CCTGAGGGCTGGTGAGAAGCGGGGATTCCCAGCGAACTCAGGCTACAGTTTCCGGAGGGCCTGTTACAGGCACAGTAAGTGTCGCAGTTCTGTCCGAAGCGCGTATCTCCTTGCCCTTTACATCCCGGGAGCAGAGAGAAGTGCTCGAGACCTTCCGCCCTGTCCCTCCGTCCTCAGCTAACTCCCACCAACTTCTGAGCTCAAGGGCATCTTTCCTTCAAAGCCAAGAGAGGTGGCAGAGATGAGTGGGTACCAAGGCCCTCTGAGCCCCAGCTGGCCCGGGCCTGGCGAGGGAGGGCAAGCGCAGCGCTCCTGTGCTCAGGCGGCGAAACCACGCACTCCCCGCTCAGGGACCTTCGGGACCAGCGTCTGGGAAAGCAGGCGTCTGGGAGGGGAGTTCTCGGCTTCCCGAGGCAGCCTTCAGAGGCAGTTATTAAGGCCGTGTGCTAAAGGGGAAATGTCTGACACTGTGAGGACGCTGAGGCACGCCCGAGCCGCCTTCATTTCTTCCCGGGCCTCGGACGGTGGGGCATCCTTCTGAGGAGGCCAATTGGAGCCACGGCTGGGCTGGCGCTGGTCTTGAGTCTGGCAGCGACTGAAGCCCTTTGTCATTGAGTTCTGGGCTCAGCAGAGACCTACCGTGGAAGTGGGCGCTGCTGCCTTGGCCGGGCTCTAGGTGCGCAGAGCAGGGGCTCCCGCAGGCAGCTTCCTAACTGCTGCTACAGGGCAGGCTTCTGCTCTAGGGACCTGAAGGCGGCCCAGCTTTAGAAAGCTCAGGCAGGCCACCCGAGGGGGCAGCCCCTGCAGACCACACCCACCCCTGCTGCCCAGCCTGGCGCAGGAGCCACTCACCCCCCGGAATCCAGGCAGGGATGTGGTAGGACATGAAGTTATTTTCTTGTGTTGATTACATTCATCTGCATGTACCAAATAAGGTGATGAGCTCTGGAAACTCTGGGAATATTCCTGGTGGTGACCATGAAGATGTGAAAAGCATGCTCACTGGTAGCTCCCTCCCCCCTCTTGTTTCTCTCCTTATGCTTGCCTGGCTGCTTCCTCCCCTCCTTCCTTCCTTTTCTCCTTCTCCCCCTTTGTG